AAAAAATTAATTTGTCCAATGGGATTGGAAATCGAAAGAATACATGCATGTCCAAATGATTGCATGTTATATAGAAACCAACATGCGGACCTAGATAAGTGTATTATATGTGGTACTTCGCGGTATAAGAGGAAAGCCCAGATGGAAGAAGAAAATATTATAGCGACCAAAAAAGGCCAAACTACTAAATTATTATGGTATTTTCCAATCATACCAAGATTGAAACGGTTATTTGTGAATGCCAAAGATGCAAAGTTGTTGAGATGGCATGCTGAGCGTAAAATAGACGATAAGATTAGACATGTGGCTGATTCTCCTCAATGGAGGAATATCAACAATGATTTTGAAGAATTTGGTCAAGAGATTAGAAATATTCGATTCGGACTTAGTTCTGACGGTTTTAATCCATTTGGAAGTCTGAGTAGTCGTCATAGTACATGGCCAGTACTTCTCTGTATCTACAATCTCCCACCTTGGTTATGCATGAAATGAAAATATATTATGATGTCATTGCTAATTCAAGGTCCAAAACAACCTGGAAACGACATCGATGTGTATTTGGCTCCATTAATAGACGATATGAAAATATTATGGAATTCCGGTGTTGAAGTGTATGATGCATATATAGGGCATAATTTCCAACTAAGAGCCATGATTTTTTGCACCATAAGTGATTTCCCGGCATACGGGAATTTATCAGGATACAGTACAAAAGGGAAAAAGGCATGCCCTATTTGTGAAGACGACACACATTCATTGTGGTTAAAAAACTGCAAGAAAACTTTATACATGGGTCATCGAAGATTTCTTCCACATAAACACCGTTATCGTAGATAAAAAAAAAGGTCTTCAATGGTAGAATCGAGAAAAAAAGGCAAGAAAACCATTAAATGGAGAAATTTTATTTTCCCGACTTGAAAATCTAAACATTGTGTTCGGTAAAGTAAAAGGTAAAAGTAGATCTGTTACCAATAGTATTTGGAAGAAAAGGTCTATATTTTGGGATTTACCATACTGGAAGCACTTGCAAGTCCGACATTGTCTTGATATCATGCATATAGAGAAAAATGTTTGTGAAAGTTTGTTAGGGTTATTGTTGAACCTTAAAGGGAAGTCAAAAGATGGGGCTAACGTTCAAAGCGACATGGTAGCAATGGGAATTAGACCCGAGCTTGCTCCAGTTGAGAATGTTGGGAAACGTACGTATTTGCCTCCAGCATGTTATACCATGTCCAAGGATGAAAAAACAAAATTTTGCCAATGCTTGCATACTATGAAGGTTCCATCTGGCTATTCTGCTAACATTAAGAAGTTGGTGTCGATGAATGACTTAAAATTGGTAGGTATGAAATCCCATGATTGTCATGTTTTGTTGACACATATGATTCCCATTGCAATTTGTGGAATACTTCCAGACCGTATTCGACACACGATCACAAAGCTTTGCTTGTTTTTTAACATGATTCATTCAAAAGTTATTAGCCACGAAGAGTTGGATTCATGGCAAAGTGATATTATCATGACTTTATGCCAACTCGAGATGTACTTTCCACCTTCTTTTTTTTGATGTAATGGTTTACCTGATATCTCATATCGTAAGAGAAATAAAGGTTTGCGGTCCAGTTTTCCTACGATACATGTATCCATTCAAGAGATATATGAGTGTCTTAAAAGGGTATGTAAGGAACCAAAATCGACCAGAGGGTAGTATTATTGAAGGATATGCTTCAGAAGAGGCGATTGAATTTTGTACAGACTATCTTCAAGGTGTCAAGAATATTGGCATTCCGAGATCTCGACATGCGGGTAGACTTGTAGGGACCGGGACAATTAGATTGAAAAGGCTCCTTTCAGATCGTGAGGAATTTCATCTTGTATATTTTACAGTGTTACAACACATGACAATCATTGCTCCATACATAAATGAGCACAAAAGAATGCTACAGACGAAGCATAGAAATAAGGGCGAAAGATGGTTGACTATCGAGCATAACAAAACCTTTGCAAAATGGCTGAAAAATAAAGTGAAAGCAAGTTACGATGGAGAAAGTATGGATGAAGTAGTAGTGAGTTTGGGAAATGGTCCGCAAAATCTTGTGGCAACGTACCAAGGCTATGATATCAATGGGTATACATTTTACACCAATCGGCAATATGGTAAAAGTACATTTCAAAATAGTGGAGTGACACTAATAGCCTCTACAATGGAATTCAGTGGGGCTAATCACGAGGAAAGGTGCAAGATCGCTAAAGACTCTTACTATGGTGTCATTCAAGAAATTTGGGAATTGAAATATGATTCCATCATTGTACCCATGTTCAAGTGCAGATGGGTTGACAACCAACGAGGTGTTAAACTTGACAACGATGGTTTCACTATTGTTGATCTTTCAACAAATGGTTATGCATCTGAGCCATTTATTTTAGCCAAGCAAGCCACCCAAGTATTCTTTGTTGAGGATCCGAAAGATTCAGGATGTCACATTGTCTTGCACAGTAAACGACGTATACTCGGTGTTGATGATGTCACAGATGAAGAAGAATACGATAATTTTGATGAGCTACCTCCATTTTCCATTGGTATCCCATCTTCGGATGATAATGTTGATGATACCACTTACTTAAGATTTGACCATGATGAAGGATTATGGGAATGATGGCATAATACACTTTTAAAAGGTAACAACCTAGTTATTTGATTTGAAGCAAACAAAATTCATTGTAAAGTTGCTATTATGATCAACATATTAATACAATTTGTTTTATTACAGGTCGACCAACAACGATATAAGAAGATGTGCTTGCTCATTGGATTTGTTTGGAGAAGATTTAATGTAGTTAGGCTTTCAGTTTAATTATTTAGGTCCAAAAAACCTTTTAAATTTGGTTTGTATTGAAATGTTTTTATTGAAAATGATTGTTCTTAAGTTCAAATTAAACTAACTTTGCAACATCCCAAAATACCACATACCATAAAAACCGTAAGCACAAAGCTTAGTGGGTTCCCCAAAATACCACATACCATACAAACCATTGGGCATAACCTGCATATTAGGCCCAACCCACCATAATGGGCCTAGCCTTGCCAAACCATTAGGCCTAGCCTATCATACAAATGTAAAAGTCACAAAGATAGTTAACACGTACATAACATACAATGGGCCTAGCACAACACACAAATGGGCCTAGCCCATCATACAACGAGCTTAGCCCGTCATATACATGGGCCCCGCCCAATATGCGTACGCCCTATGTACTCTTTCAGGGTCCAAAAATCCAAAATAAGCTCTTAATGGTTAAAACAATGACTTCCAAACTTGGATATGACCCTAAGGAGATGATTAACACGTAAAGTTGGCAACTTTACTCCTTTGCAAGGCTTAATGAGACCAAAACCTTAATACAATCCGTAATAATCACCCAAACTCATGCATGCACCACAATAACTCATAAAGATGGCATTTTTATGAACAAGAGACCTCCCGAATGTCAACATCCAACATACAAAGCTCTTGGAGTAGTCCATACTCATAATGATGACTTTAAGGACCCAAAATGAACCCAATATACTCCTTAAACTATATCTAACACCTAGATTCATCAAGATAAAAACTTTATACCTCCAAAAGATAGATCAAGGTGCACAAAGGTTGGATCCAAAAATTCCAGGCAATTTCACACTTTTCTAAGAAGCTTCTTCTTCTTCAAAGCTCACCAAAATGCATGAAATACCATAAAAAACTCAAAAACCACTCAAATAGGGGACAGGGTTTGATTTATAGGGTTTAGAGGGATGACGGCTGAAGATAATAAGGTTTGGTGGTGAGTTAAGGAGCTTAAACAGGGTCTAAGATCCTAATTAGGGTGTAGGTCTAACTCGAGTGAGCACAACATACTCCCTAGAACACTCGCAATCACACTACTTAGTACGCCTCACATACTCGATTAAGCCCTAAAATCACGAAACTTCCAAAGGCCATAACTTCTTCGTTATAAGTCCATTTCCGACGATCTTTATATCCACGAAGAGGTAATGAGAAGCTCTACACTTTTATCAACTCATACTTGCCTTAATACTTCCCGAACGAAAATCCAATTTCAATGAAAGCCCGAACTAACACTTTACCGAAATACTATTTGGCTCCAAAACACAAACCGAACTCCCGGATCATCCAAATTACATTACCCACACCCAAATTGGTATAGATATCTTTTCCTCAAAGTCCTGAAGCCTAATGATACTCGGTCTTCGGGTCACCATCCTACATTATTAGGAAATGATTCGGAACAGGCCGGGCGTTATAAACTTCAACAACAAAATAATTTTATTATTAACCTATAAGCAGAATATTATTAAATTATTTTTTAATAAAACCAGAATATCAATAATATCTAAAAAATATTTCTATTGAATTTCATTATATTAAAATTTATATTATATTAAATTTTATGAATGTGACATATAATAATAAATTATGTATAAGAGGGCGTTTGAAATTGAAAAGTTTCAAAGGAAATGGAAGTTAAATCATTTGCAATTTTAATATCCGTAAACAAATCTTCTATTGATTTAGTCAAATTTGATATTAATTTTATGCAAATGGGTATATAATCAAATGAATATTAATTACGGAGAGTTAAGAAAACAAGTGTATACCAATCGAAATTAAACTTATACATTAGGCATGGGGAATTAAAAAACAAGATTATATTAATGGTAAATGGACCTTATACGTTATCATTTTCCATCACAGGTTATTAATTAATCAAAATTTTGTTTCCATAATGAAAATTAACCATAACTACTTCTTATAAAACAAATCGTTTTCTACTTTCTACCATCAATCAACCACGTTGTGTAATGGAGAAAATTTACCGCCATTAATTTTCGATATCCCGCCATTTGACCCACTATGCGGTTTTTAAGCTCCTCTATGATACTAAAACTCAGAAACCACCAGGTTAAGTCCCCAATACAGCAATACACACAAATAACGTCAATGCTTAGCTTCATCACCGCCATAGCCAATAAACTATTGAGGTATACAATGGATGATCAACCACAACAGCCACCGCAACCACAAGAGAGAAAAAAGAGAATAGCCACACAACTAATTGACAGTCAAGAGCCACAAGAAGTTGATTTCAATCATTTTGGTATGCATTATGGGGATAAACAAATTAAGTTTGCCAATGAGTGTGGAGTCCTCACACGGTCGATTATTTCTATCAATTATCGAACTTGGAAGAAAGTGCCGCAGGGTGAACTTGAAATGTTGTGGTTAAGTATTAAAGTATGATATCTAAGACCTATTGTATGTGTTTTCATTTAGTCAGAATATGTTATTAACGGTTAAAATCTTTACTTTGACATAAACACAGACGATGGAATATTCAAAATAACAAACGCAGAGGTGATGTGCTTAAAATTTGCAACACTGCATGGAAATCCTACAAGAAGAGGCGCATACATGATTTCATGGCCAATGGAAGAGATCCAATTCCAATCTACCCATATCTAGACCCTGATACATGGAAAACCTTCAAAAAAGAGAGATCTTCAAAGGAATTTCGGGTTTGTTGGACTTTAGTTCATCTGATTATTTCGATGAAATTAATTATTGTAATGCAAATGTTTAAATTGTGTTACCTATGTTTGTAGGCAATAAGTGAGAAAGCGAGAGCCAATGCGAAGCTTCAAAAAAATCCTGCACGATTAGGTCCACATGGATATCGGGGTAAACAAGTTAACAAGCTCAGTGGGAAAATGAGATTGCATCTGGAGGGTTGTCAGAAGAGTTGGCATTAGAATTGTGCAAGATAAAAAGCCATTGTTCAAGAGATTTTGTCATGGGTAGGCTATCTAAAACTGATTCTGGATCGTATTATGCACCACCTGGCATACAACCAACAATGGCTAAGCTTGTAAGATATTTCTTCTTTTTTTAAATTTTGTTATAATTTCTATTGAAATAATTGAATTCTAGTATATTTACAAAGCATGGTGAGATAAAGTTAAGCTAACCATGAAATATAGAATTCTAGATTAATGCTAATTATCAATGTCTGAACTAACAGCTTAAGGACATCAATGTTTTTTTTATCTGGTAATGCCTTGCTAGCTTTGTTCCAATAAAATGTTGATGCTGTAACTAATCCCTACAACATCAATTGCATTTCTTTTGAGAATATCAATCAGGTAGCAATTTCCCAGATCCATATATGCATCTACTTAGCCTTCATGATAATGAATTAATTACATAATCTTAAACCTTTATATATATAAATGAAATCAATCCTTTAATACATGAAACAAAGGAGGTAGCCTACTTAAGGTTGCTCTTATTGAATGTTTTTAACAAAATGTAAGGTTTTGTAGATTACACACTGGTATAGTATTTATTCACATAATCCTGTTGTTTTTGTTAACAGGCAGAGGTCGAAAGTCAAATGTCCCGGGGAGATTGGGTGCCTGAACCCGGATAGGATTCGTTGACAGTAGTGTTAGGAAGGGAGCACCCTGGCCGGACTAGGGCAGTTGGTCACACTGTCGGCCTGAGAAAAGCCATGCAAGGGAATGATAAAAAGAAGAGGAAAATGCATGTGAAAGAATCTATGAATGAGATGCGCGCCACGATAGATGACCTTACAAAACAGGTGGCAGAGGTAAAGGCAATGATGCAGGAGTCTAACAAGCAAGTTGTGGACAATGTGAGCCCAAGGGTTACAAAATAGGTGGTAGAGGTAAAGGAAATGATGCATGAGTCTAATAAGCAAGTTGTGGACAATGTGAGCCCAGGGGTTCTGAATAGTAGCTGTGACTCAATGCCAGCCTTGGTTGAGATAACGGTAATTGTGTGTACCTATTTGACTGAGTTTTAATATTGATACTGTATTTTAACTTTCAATTAGGTATTTAACATTGGTGTTATTTATATACAAAACCTGCTTGCTTGCAGAACCCTACTCAATGTAAATTGGTGTTGCCATATGGGGCATTGGACCAGAATTGCGCTAGTGGGCTGGTCTTTCCCTACGGGAATGGGCTAATACACTCACTCCCTCTGCGTGAAAACTACCTTAAAGTTTTGATAGACAAAATAAACAAAGACTTTCAGGGTCTTTCAATTCCTGTAGTGACTGATGAAGCCAGTAATCTTCAAAGTGCAGTTGGCCAAATAATTCAATGGCCACGAAATGCTATTATTCTAACTGAGGTACATTCTTTTTATCCTTGATTTTTGTAGTTACTATATATAGATGCATCAAGTTATTACCAATGTGTTTAATCAAATGGTTTGTGGATATAGATACAAGGAAGAAAGCTACAGAATTCAACTCCAAGTTCGCTACAAACCACTGTAGGGGGTTGTACAAAAAAGAACACACTCACTCCAATGAACAAATCGAAGCCAATTGAATTACTACGTGAGAGATTAAAGAACAACCCATTAATTCATGTTGTAGCTGATTATGGCATTTTAGAAGCCGAGAAATTTGAGTTTTGGATTGCACGAGAAGAAATTCTTCGTTTGTTGAACAAAAGAACACTTGATGTTACCATTCTAACAGTTTGGCAGATGTAAGTACACTTAAATTTCTTAATATTTTTTCTCTGGTGCTTAGATATTAGATGATCGTAACATGTTTTTGTCTTATTTTTAGGAATCAACATCCGATCTCACGTTTGAAGAACAAATGCTCTTTCCTAAACCCGCATAGGATTCTTGGGGCAGATTGCCAAGAAAACCTGGAAGCTATCATAAATTACATTGTTGATGCGATGCGAATTAATCAAGGAAAACAATTTCTTATCGCTCCATATCTTCAAAGGTTATTTATGTTACTATAATCATTGTTAAATGTTCTCCATATTTATAGTTTATACTGATTCCTTAAACATTACAAGTGAGCATTGGGTCCTCTTTGTCATTTCCCCTCATAATCGCACCGGGTACATATTGGATTCAATCAGGAGTCCTATACAAAAGCCTATGGATACCTATTACCTACTCAAGAAACATGTTGACTCGTAAGAAATATCTTAAAATTTACTTTCTTTTATATATTTTTTTATTACAACACTAATTTTTCTTTTTTAGGGCTTTTGCAAGGTACGGGAAAGACGCATCAAATCCAATTAACTGGACGCTCGCTGAGGTAATTCATGTCACTATATCAAAAAAAAAAAAAGATTTTGTATTTTACTTGTTTGATTAGTGTACATTTGTGATTACAATTTAGTGCAACCAACAACCGGGTGATTGGGAGTGTGGGTATTATGTAATGAAATGGATGACAAATTTTGTGATGGTTGAACAAAACGGATTCTTGAGTAGAGTAAGTACTTAAATATATATATATTTTTTTGTCATTTGTCTATCACAATATCCTCTATCTTTCTTATATAACAATTGTAATTTATATTTTTATAGACTGCTACCCCTTGGAATGACACAACTCCATTTTCTGAAACCACCTTGTTTTCAACTGTTGTTAAGTGGGCAACACAATTCCTGAACAAATATATGAAAGATGTGGTTGGGCAGAAAGGCATATCTAGTTAGTTTTTAATATTTACAACATCAAACTTTTAGTTTAACTTTAACCATTGTGTGCCAAACTAAGAACACCTACCCTGCATATGATGTTCTAACCTGGTTCTTCTTTCATGTTTAGTTATGGCAAATCAAAAGGCACAATGATGAAGGCTGGACTCACAATGATTAGAACCATCATTACTAGTTTTAGTTTTTGTATTTAGTCGGTTGCAACAATTGTTTAACTTAGTTAACAATATTTTCATTATTGTTTGAACTTTATTGTTGGTATTAGCAACTGGTCATTTTAAATTGAAATATTTTGTTTAATGTTGAATCTACGTAATTAAGTAGTTGAAGGTTTCTTTGCTTACTCTTTCATGTTTTTATGTTGGCAATTTTTTTATCTTCTGTTAACAACATTTGTGTAACGCCCGTGTTTCTAGGCTTGCCATTTTTAGCAATGTAATGGTCTAGGTTAACCTTTTAACTCAACTTGAAATAATAAGAATGTATTATTTGTGAATTATTTGAATTATGTGATTTATGTGTGTATTTACTTAATTTTATAATTTAATGAATTAAGAATAAAATAAGCATCAAAATTTAAGTGTGAGATAAGCCCGACATCTTTGCATAAAGTTGTAGTGGTCGAAACAAGGATTCCGGGGATATAAGGAATGCCAAAATCCGAGTTATAACGAAGAAGTTATGACCTGTCGAAGTTTCGCGACAGAATCGACACGACGCCGAGTGACGTAAAATATGAATTTAAGATAGAGAGATATTTAGCCTTAGCGATCTAAACGAAAGTCGTAGATTTCGTTAAACCAAGAGCGTGCATAAAAGGAACTCCCAAATCTGACTTCGTATGAGGAAGTTATGATTTTCTGAAGTTTCGACGTGGCAGTATGCAGCCCGAATACTCGATTTGAGATCGAGCGGTTTCTAGCCGAAACAATCTAAATGAGAAACGAAGATCTCATTGTTAGTAGCGAAACGATGACAAGTTAGGCGAGGACGGACGTCAGACGAAGAAGTTATGAATTTATAACGAAGTTTTTCTGTCCCGGCTTTCTAAAAATAAATAATAAAAATAAAAGTCAAAATTAGCCGACGGAGTCTAAATGAAAGTTGTAGAGTATGGTCTGACCTTCGCGTGGATATAAAGAACGTCGAAAACGGAGCTCGTATGCAAAAGTTACGCAATTTAGAAGTTTGACAAGTCAATTACGCCCCGCGTAATTTGAGTACGCCCCGCGTACTCAGTCGGATGCAACTTGTCTGACCAATACTCGAGTGCCACCAGTCGACGCACGCAGTGACGTCAAAGTACGCCCCGCGTAACCCGAGTACGCCCCGCATAATCCCAGACCCAGCAGCCTATAAATAGAACTCGAATTCAGCCATTTTCTCTTGTTCAAACTCTTCCCTCTCTCTAAGTTTTGCCTCGTTTTGCGTGTCGTTTATACCCCAAAGCCCCGGTAATATTCCCGAGCCCCGAAGTAAGATCCGAAGCCCCGAGGATCTCGAAGAGCGTTATTCCCGAGCCGAAACGCTGCCCGCGAGGAGCCCGATTTTGTGAAGATCTTCCAGATCTACGGAGAAACACCTCTTCTGCAAGCTGTAGTGCTGCCCGATCATCTTCTGATCAAGTGAGTGTGTAGTTATTTTCATTCCAACGCAATATTATGAAGTATTTTCTATAAAATACGTGTTATGTGTATATATTTGGTTGTTATACGTGTGAGTGTATATTCACTCTCTTCTATCTTACAGATCTGATGTATTCTCTATGAAATACGTGTTATGTGTGTATGCCTCATCTGTTATGTGGAATATGTATTGCTTAAAGCATGTTATACAGGTTTTTAAACTATGTATAAAAATGTATATTTTTATCTACTAATATGTTGGGTAGAACATGGGTAGATAATTGGTGTGTAATAAACAGATGAGAGGCCTCGGTGTTATTCTAGTCATTCAGCAGAGTATGGATGACGACCACGGACTATTCTAGACTGTCCTGTGGAACACTAGCAGGCTCATTACCTGTAGGTGTTGTGAACGACGTGTTCACCGGTGTACTCTATCCCCCACATGGTTGCCTATAGGATACTTATTGTTGAGGAAGCCCCTCTGCAGTAATGTCCATCCCGATGAAAAATCCTGAAATAGGTTCCTTATAATAGACGTTATTTTTAGGAACGTAAGGTGAGGATAACAGGAATGGGTAATCGGGTTTATTGTTGATTGTTGAAATTAAATATAATTATTGTGGGTTGAAAACCCTATATGCTCACCAGGCTCCCAAGCCTGACCCACTCAGTTGATTTATTTTACAGGAAGTGGCGCAAGAGCTTAAGATGGGCGAACATCAAGTTGTTTTGTTTACAAGTAGGTATATGTATATATTTGTTGAAAGACTTGTAATGCTATCGTTTATGCTTTATGATCTGTATCGGAACATGACATCCCGACTTTTGATTATGAAATGAAATCATATTTCTTTATGAAATGTTTTGATAAATATCTATTTTATCATGTTTTGTTTTTGGGAACAAATTCCGCATCTCTTTTAAAATTAAAAGGATTTACTCTGAAAATTATTTTAAAAAGCATAAATGAAATCGGTCTTTTCTGGCCGAGATTTTAGGGATGTCACAATTTGGATGCTCATGGGATTGTGGAATTGGTGGTATGTGTAAAGTCTTAACTGGCCTCATCAGACGTGATTTCATGCAGGAAAAGTGGCTATATTATTGAATTCATTAGACCCGGTTGCATAGGTAAAATCGGGCTCTATTTTCCTAATAAGACCCGGTTGCAAAACCGGGTTCTTTTTATACTTTCACATAAGACTCGCCTTCATATAACCCTGTTGCAAAACCGGGTTCTATTAGCCATATTAACCGGGTTTTATAGCCTTTTTTTTTGTAGTAGTGTTTGTAGGGCTGAACATGGTACGGTACCAGTTGATTTTTACTTAAACCGTGTACCGTACCAACTACAGTTGGTATAAATTTTTTGCTACCATTACCGTACCAAGTATACTTGGTACCAACTTGTTTGGCTACCAACAAGTTTGGTTGGTACAATTTGGTAATGATATATTACCAACTTTATTCAAAATTTCAATTGTAATAGTTAAAGACTAGTAATGATACGGGACACTTTTCTCGTCGAGTAATATAAATTAGTAAATTAACTATTCTAGTTACTAAAAAATTTAATAACGTACTTTTCAGTTTCTTAATCTAATCTGGTAATAACTATTGACTAAATCTAATATCTAATATCATAATTTTAAAAATCGTAAGCATTAAACACTCGATATTTAAAAATACGATTTCGTTTATATATATATATATATATATATATATATATATATATATATATATATATATATATATATATATACCGTGGTATTTAAAATTTAATACTGTTACCGTACCAAGTTTACTGAATTGGTACGGTACTACCAACCAAACATGTTGGCTACCAAATATATTGGTAACCAACTTTCTTGATTCGGTTGGTAACATATTGGTTGGTTCCCCGTGGTACATATTTGACAGGCCTACTCATTTGCGGAGAATTTGACTTCCAGAATGGTAAATTTTATACCTCCATTAATTGGTTGGTTGTTTTTTTAACATTGTATTTTTTTATTGTCCCTTTCTTGACTCTGGTATCTCGGTTTTCTTAAGGCCAAGGGGTCTCTTTTGTTGTTTCAAAGAATGAAAATCTTTTGTAACTTTTGGTAAGATATAATTTATTTTAGATATTCATTTATATATTTCTTTTGTGTGTATTAAGTGTTTAACAATGATACATATGTTGATGAAAAAGTTACAATTATGGGTTTTGAATGACATCTTCAGATTTTGATTGAATGTGTCGTTCAATTCTGTTGCCTATTTATTTTTATTTGTTTATAATGCCCAAGTCAATGCAGCTGCTAATGGTTTCTGTTGTTTATGCAGTCACCGCTGTCGCATCTATTCTGAGAGGAATTGAAAAAAAAAATCAAAAACTTTCTAAAATTGTAGGAATTAAGTCAATTAGGTAAAACATCATTTTTTCAGCTTAAAATATTGTCTTGTGAGTTGCTTATTATACTTGTTATACAAGCTTATTTTAATAATTTTTTTGGTGGGGATTCTTCTCTAGAATATATAAAATATTTGTGTGAGTTGCTTATTATACTTGTTATACAAGCTTATTTTAATAATTTTTTTGGTGCGACACTTGCAAACCCAAGTGAAAACGAAAAGTTGTAAAGGGAAGTGGAAAAAAAATTACGAAAAGAGATGAATCAAGTGAACAAAGCGTAACTTCAATCACAACCGAATGAACTTACGAGACAAATTGGTAAACCCATATGAAAATGCACCTATATAAATGAATTTCAATTCAAACGCAACACCAAAAAAAAAAAAAAAAAAAATCACTTTTAGCGACGATTAAAGTCATGTAATTGATTCTAGAAATCCATCATTAAAGGTAGCGACATATGTCGTCGCATCTGCGCTATTACTTTTTGTCTAATAGTCATAATACAGTCATAGTACGATTAGCGTCGACGCTAACAGGTTTTGTCACTAAAATAGGTCGTCGTCATAAACGTTATCATCGCCGTTAATGCTTTATTAATATATTTTTTTAAAATAAATTTTATATTTTCATATAATTTATGTTATAAAAATACAGAAATTATAATCTCTGCATTAATTAAGCCATCAAAATACATAAAACAAAATATAGTACGAAATATGTATTAGAAAATTTTAGGTTTAAACTTATTATATTTTTGGTTGAAATTGTAAAATTACATCTGTTGATTATTTTATTATATGGGCATTTTTGGCAGAGAACAATTGGATTTCTTTTATTATTTTTCAGTTTTTTCTTAACTAATCGACATTTTAACAATAGATTACTGATGTTTAAGTCGATAAATTAGACAAAAATTCCGTTGTTAATCATAACAAACAAGTTCCGTTGGTAATTTGTGGCAATCAGAA